TTTTGTTTTCCAGGTTATTCAGTCTAATCATCTTGCAAGAGGCTGCAACTATCCAAATGCGCATTCTGCCTCAACTGCTCAAGTATATATTAAGATGTGAAAACAAAAAAAAAAAATAAAAATACAGCAAAACTGCTCAGCATTTCATTAAACTTAGTAAATCAAACACCATAATAGTACAAAGTAACACAGATAATTCTATTGCCCTTTAGACAGGGGATGTTCATGGCAGAGTATAAGAACTAATTAAAAGTTTCTGCTGAATTATCTGACCACAGTGGAAAAAAACATACCTGTTAGTATTAAGCACTATAAAAGCAAGAGATGTTAGGAAAAAGTTCTTCAATATGAGGGTGATAGATCTCTGGAATAGATGCCCAGGCAGGTGGTAGAGGTCCCATCCCTGGGTACATTCAAGATCAGGCTGGATGAAGATCTGAGTAGCTTGATCTAGTTGGAGATGTCCCTGCTTGTGGACTAGATGAACTTTGGAGGTCCCTTCCAGCCCAGACATTCTATGATTCTATTAAATATATCCATTATCTCAATCAGCATATTAAGTAAGAGCAGTGCTTTCAAGCTCACATTCTGCTTCTCATTAGGATCAACATTCTCACAAGAGATATAACTTTCCAAAAATATATTTTGAGGGTTTTAACCCCGCTGGTTTTGCCTGGGAAGAAAACTCCCCCAGCGGCACCCCCGTAGTACCTCCAGGGCGGTCGTCAGCGAAGAGGAGGAGAGTGGCGGTTAAAGGAGGGATGGGCAACGATCGCTTTCTTCCAAAATAAAAGGTTTTAATAACATGAAAATAACAAACAAAAACACCTGAGGCAGGCACTGAAACAGCACCCACCCCAGGGGAGAAGCGAAAGAGCATGTGGCCTTGGGGCCAGGGGTTTTTAACAGGTTGGTAGGTGGGTTTACAAAGGCATTGTCCTGTAAGGATACCTGGATGGGTTACCGACAGGTCAGGGGTCCAATGGGTGTTAGGGGATTGGTCTTTTGGTGGCTAAGCCAACCACAACCTGGGAAAGATGGAAAATTCTGGATGTGTGCCCATGTTTGGGGACAAAGAGGCAACAGAAACCTCTGTCTCCAGGAGGCGCACTGCAACAAAGAGAACCTACTGAATTAGAAAACAGATTAAACCCAAGTGTATTTTCAGAGGCAACAACAAGTTGATAGCATGTCCTTGTGTTTTCAACTAACCCTGGCATTAAACTTGGGGAACTCCATCCCTTACACTACGTGTGGGATCTTTTCCTGAAAAAGGTCAGGAAGAAGGGAACTATTTCCTCAAGTTTCAAAATAATTACAAAAAAAAAAAAAAAGCAGCACTAACAACATGCCTGGATATTTACCAAGTTGGGTAACTGTTAGCAGAAGGACTCACAAAACATAGCTCCTCATACATTCGTATTTTATATATACATCCTGTCTCCTAAGCTTCTTACCTCAAGATAACGCTAGGGCATGGCTCTATAAAAATCTAGAGCTCTCCTCTATGACAGCACCTCATGTCCCTTAAGTTCCACACATTTCCTACTTTCTTAACTAAAGTCTAAAGATCAGAGGTACTACAGCTGAAGTGAAGCACGACCCAGCTGTTTCAAATATTGGGCACTACAACTAGAAGATAAGGGCTGAGATGATCTCTCCTTTTCCTCAGTTTTGTGCGCTGTAGTGAGGAACTGCCGCCCCCTGTTCACATTCACACATTTTGCAAGAAACCAGTATTTCTTGAGGCAGTGTCTTCATCTGAATCAGCTGAAACTGGCTAATTGATTTAAAAATTGTTGTGGTAGTGGGGGAAAAGGTCATGACAACGTTGCCAAAAAGGCAAGAAGGTATTATAATCCAACAGCCTCATTTCCCTAGGCAATACAGCTAAATATGGTAAAATAATTAAAAGTTGCCACAACAGGTTATCTAAAGCCCAAACAAAAAAAAAAATTAAAATACTGTGCTCTCCCCAGCATTTATTCCCCATTTCTGAAGTAGTAAGATTTCTGCATCTTAGACACAGTACATTACATGACATAACTGGCACAAGGCCAAATATTATCCACAGGAAACATTCATGAGACAGGTTGTTTATTTTTTTTTTCTTTTTAAGGAGTGCAATGGATAAGAAGTACTCATAGAGTTGGAGTGTTTAAATCCATTTCATAGTGAAATGGATTTATGGATAGAGTGCCTGCATCATCTGTGCTTCCTCTCATGCAGCTATCCATTTTCTCTGATCAATATCCTACATGAAGTATATCCTGTGTAACAATTTGGAGAATCTATCTGTATTATTATTGATGCACAAAACCAGCACAATACTGAATGCCTATATATATGTATGCCTGTAAATACACATACATACTGAGCTAGACTGGATTGAATCACACTCCTTCCATACCAGGTTTAATTATTAATTAGCATATACTTCAATGGAATTAATGCAGAAGATTGTTTTGTCTTTTCAGACAATTCAGGAGAGACAGGCTGCAATTGCACTGCACAGTGTAAAACAAGGTCTGGTTAAAAGCAGTTGGTAGCTTCCTTGCTTTGATCGAACTAGTCTTTGGTACCCAACTCTGAAAGTCCTGGGAGCTTCAAGTGATGCTGGCAAGTGTCACACTGCCCACGGATGAGCCATGAATCACTTCTAAGTGCCAAGACACTGTGCTTCCACCTAACAAATGCCTTAGGTAGAGACGCCCTCCTACAGCAAGTTCCTACAAAGGGATTAATTTTAAACCTTTAGAAATAAAGTCAGTGCACAGGTTCTAACTTGGCACTCCATGAAGCCCTATGGAAACCTTCTGATGAAAGCCAGCACTTACAGTTCAAACAGACTCTTAAAGCTCAGAAACACACAAGTGAACCAACTGACAGTCGTGTGGAGTAGCATGTGCCTTCAATACAGTCTGTATGGCAAGTCCCATTTTCAGAGGCATCTAGCATTACATTTTGTACTGCAGAGACAATTATTTTACTTTATTTAGGCAAAGTAATCTATTTCCCTGAAAGTTTATAATTTGCTTTCAAAGTCAAATCTGAAGTAGTCAGCTTGAAGTGCGAATGAGAACGAGATGAAGCCTCTGAATAAATAATTTGATTTACTGTCCTTTACATACAAAACATCATTGATCATGTGAAAACAGCCTTTGTAAGAAAAACAGTAATTTTCAATCTTTTTGACAAACTGTTTAAAATGAAGTCTAAAAGTTTAGTGAAATGGGTTTTTTTTGCTTTTGTCTGAAATTTAAAAAGAAGCTTTGATATGTCAGTATCTAGAAAATATTTTTAATCAACATTTAATGGATTATTCAGTATTTCATATTGATGTCATTCTTTAGAAAACTGTACACAGATTGAAGGTAGAAAAGAAGCCAAACTATTGAACGTACAATACTTATAATTTTCAACAGATGGCACTTTATAGCAAGAAATCTATAACGTCTAATTAAAAGACAGCAAAAACAATTGGATGGCTGAATGCATTGACATGCCAATGTCTGCATCTGAAAAAGCCTAATATCCTTAAATTTGAAAGTATAGTTCCATAAAAATGAAATTACAAAGAGGGAATCAAAAGCCAAACTCACTCTGAAGTAACGTTCTACCTCAGATGTTAATCACACTGAGCTGTTCTTCACAAAGGCAGGATAATTCCATCTCCTTTTTTTTCTCAGGCAGAATCTACAAGTAGAGTTAAATTTAAAATAGTGAAAAAAACAACCATGAGGCTATGGTCATTGCTACATACAAGCTGAGCAGAGAACATAGAATCTTTTTAGTAATACAACTTAGAGAGTGCAGTTTTGTGTAAAACTTTACAGGCATTTTTCATGTTTGAAGCTACACAGATTTTTAGAACTGTTTATGAGCTAAATAAACCAGGAAAGCCTGGGAGCATTGCTGTCTGTGACTTTACAGCCCAAGTTACCCTTCCAGGTTGTCTGTCAGTATTATCTGAGTGGAAGGTGCTTCCTAATGAAAGTCATGAAAGGCAAACTGAGAATTACACTTAAAGAAGTCCATGGGGAGCTGTTATCTTAATTTACCTAATCCATAGTTACAGAGCAGAGCCACTCTTCTTGGGGATGCACAGAGAAAAGATAAAAGGCAGTGGACAGAATTTGTGGCACACGAAATGGAAATGAGGTAATTTTTCATAACAGAACTAGTTGTGTATTGAAACAAGAACTTGAAGCTCCATCTTTGGAGTTATTCAAAACTGGACAAGGCCCTGAGCAAACTCACCTAGCTTCAACAGTGGCCATGCTTTCAGCAGGCTGTTAGAGAAGAACACCATCAGTGCCCTCCAGGAACTTCTAGGATCCTTCCTAAATTGTTTCATAGAAAATGCTACACAAAAGGATGAGACACAACACCACACATAACTTCTGAAAGATATGTCTGGGCCATATTCTTTCACATTCCCAAAACAACCCTTCTCACAGAACTAGAGAACATGACCACCCTTTCCCCATCAGCACTACACAAAGGAAAATCTTAGACACAGGAAGGAATAGGAAAGGGCAGTTTTATACCTCCACAGCACCTTGAAGTGCAAGTATTGGGCCACAAAATGCCATGACAGCTATGTCCTTTTTTGTTCCTGAAGGAGACATTCTTTCTCCTGATAGCAATCAAAAACATTAGGCACTTAACCTCATTCAATAGCCATGAAACAAACGAGCAGCAAATGCAGGAATGACAGGAAACTGAAAGACTCCAAGCCAAACACTGCCCTTGTCAAACTTTGGGCTCTCATGAAAACTAACCTGTAATTTTAGCACATTTTTTCCCCATCATTGGTAGGGGCAAATTCACCTCTTGCACAGATGAAAAATACCTTACACAGATGAACAGAAACACAAGCTTTTGCATACTTTATATATTTAGAATCAACTGGTCAAGATACTTTAGAGATTTTAAGAAGTTTTTTCCATGCAACTTCATGCAACCTTAATAGCATAAAAATTTATGTCTCAATCCATTTAATTAGTGAGATCTGATTCAGGCTGGTTCAAATCTTCTCCCATTAGTCCTTTCAGGTTCAAATCTTTGAAAAATTCCAGGTGATGACTGCAAAGACAGAAGACAAACAAAAAATGCTGTGAGCTTTGTAGCATGTGCTATTAATAAAAGGCAATATCCTCAACAGGTTTTTCAGGTTTTCATGGATAGGAATGCTGTATGAGGAAAAAAATCTTCAGCTTTTGACCAATTGAAAAATCGTATCAGAGGCGTATCTCAGCCTCACAGGAAAGAGGAAGACTGGATAGGATAATGAAGCTAGGAAATATATTTTTTTCTGTAAGACTAGAAGTCTAATTTTCTTTTAAACATTATGAATCAGTTCTTGCTAAGAGTTTCTCCTTTAGGCTACTGTACAGACACAATAGAATGAAGACACTAACACTAAATGCTAATTAATACTTGTATTAAACAACTGCTGAGCTACTGCACAGTAGGAAGAACATCTGACACTGCAGTAAGCAGGTAAAAAGGTAAACAGAACTCTCTGTAAGAGTAAAGACAAACTAAGAGCAATGAAAGTAGCAAGGAGCAACTTCTTCACATAATTGCATCTGCTACCTGTGTCTGAAAACGTCAAGGTTTTTTTTGGAACTGGTACTATAGAAAGGATCTCTTCCTGAAAAATACTACAGGCATTCTCCAGTTTACTACCGAAAACTGAAAGTGTCCATTTCTTATGGAACACTGGTAAAGAGAATGTATTATATTAGCAGTAGGTTAGATTGGGGGTTTTTTGATAAACACTTGCAGAAAGAACTTTTATTAAAATAAATAAAAAAAAAAAAGAGTAACTTATGTAAAATTTACCTAACCTGGCTGTCATTGTATGTTGAGTAACAAGCCTGCATAAGAGCTCTAGTGTACCATCTAGAGCTAGTTCATCTATACAAAATGCCCAGAAGTTGCAGTTTTCATCAAATCCTCTCAGCCTCACAGTCAAAGAAAATAAACAGGCCTGTAACACAATTGAAAAACCAAGATATTCCAGTTTTTCTGTTGACACTGGGTATCCTTTTATTGTACTTCTCAGTTTAGTCTGCCTTTTCAGATTTTTCCTTAATATGGAGCCATCTGTAGAGGTGAGGCTGTTTAGAACAGTAGGGAAGAAGCAGAGCAGATTAACTGGGAAGTGTATCTAGAGAAATTAACATTAAATGGCATTTTGGGAGGTGTTGGAGACAAGGAAACAGAACAACAACCTATCTATGATTTAGCTGAGGAAGGCAATAAAACAGATGCCAGTGGTGTTTAACGCATCATTTTCTATGCACCTAGGAGAGAACACAAAAATCAAGCACTAATTACAGCTACCTGGCACAGTGCTTTATGCAAAGCACAGTGCCACTGGATCTGGGGCTAAGCAGTATAATTAAAACACTAGCGTCATGTGATCCGAAAACCAGATTAGCTTTCTTTCTGTAGTTCAAGGACAGTGCAACTATATTACAGAACAACTAATTTTATGCTTACAAATCTGGTTTCTGGCCTTCCCATAGTTTATGTTGAGGCACAGGATGAAGCAGTTGCTATCTTCTCTCTTCTCCTGAGCCATGAATTGCAAATACAACGAACTTGTTGATGCATGATGGAAAATAATTCCAAAGAAGATGAGCTTTACCTTCCCATTTCCTTTTCATTATTTTCACCTCAAACTCTAAAGGAAATTCTTCCTGTTAATGGAAGAAAAACAAGAGGTCATGTCATCTTCCATAAGGCAACAGGTACCTAAAACCCATTTGTTTTTCTTTACATTATGAATGCACTTGACCACTTAGTTTCCATACTCTTCTTCTGCCAGAAAACAGCAGCACCAAGTGTTGTCAACGGCTGTCAAAAAATCAAGAGCTTAATTTTCTTAAAATGATACCAAGTTGTTAGCGTACTGATTGGCCACAGATAGGTACATTCCCCACACTGGAATAATTTCTGTACCCAGTCTTCCTCATACATGTATCTTAAAAGCACTAGAACTGGAAATGCAAATTAACATTTGTGCCTTTTTCAGAGTGCTGTACTTACAGAGGAGGTTCAACTTCTAAATACTGTTCAGTTCTGTCACTCAGGAAAAATGCTTCTACAACTAAAAACAAACCAAAACAGGCTGTCAGTATTTTAACTATTTTGTAACATCTGAGACCTTCACATCCCACCAGAACAGTTGTTTTCATGATTTTTGGCCCTGTGCCTTGCCAGAGGTTGATGAGCTGTGCCATAATTGTATCTTCAAGACCTTTTATTTTTCATGCCTATTGTCATAAAGAGCTTTATAAAGCCCTGTACTAATTTAATTTACTTCACCAATTGCAGCTTTGAATCAACTCATCGTGATGCAGCAGAATATGGCAAGTCTACTCACTAATGTTAGCTGTCCATGGAGTAAGAAGAGCACCAGCACACAGCTGTTCTATCTAGTATGACCAAAGCTGACCAAGGTAGAGTGACCAGGAAAAAATAAGCAAAGAGGGAGATACACTCAGCAGAGCACACACCCCAGAACTGAGGCTACTGTATCTCAGAAATAGTAAAAAAGCATTTAATTATTAAATGTTTTTTCCCTGTAGATGGCTGATAACTCTGGAAATAGGATTCCTGTTCCAAGTGTACCTGAAAGCCACGTGTGACTGCTGAATCACCTTTCAGAAACACAAAACAGCTATAATGGCATTTCTCAGAGCATGTACATTATAGAAAGCTTTAGTTAGAATTAAGATTAGATATGATTGATTATTTTATTTCCCAAAGTCTACTTAGTATAATAATATCAAAGAGGTGCTAATACTGTTTTAGTATAGCTTTAATCAGAATAGTTCAATAATTCTGAAGCAGAGAACTGCTGGAAAGATGAAATTCTTTCATTATTTCAAAGCAACAGATAAAAGTGACAGGATTGACAGGAAAGGAGAAAGAAAACAGCATTACTGTGAGCATATTCCTCATTCCATTTGGATACAGCTTTGAATCATGTTTTATGAGCTGCTATTTCTCTGTTTCACACCTTCCTGTTCCTCACGCACACTTTGGAAAGGTGATTAAAATAGACATGTATTTTAGCTATTACTCTCTACTTCATAAAGCAGAAGTAGAACATACATATAGGATTTCACTTCTATTTCCCTACTGCAAATGCATTTATATACATGTGCCACAAAATTATTTTGATATTCAAATATGTCCCACCTCTGTTATTCCACAAGTTATACTGTTAATCCAGAAACTAAGTTTGAGTGCCTATACTACTGACAGGATCAGGAAGAGTCAACTTCATCATTCCTGAAATCGATCCAGCTCCTTGGACTTCATTTCTTTCACAGCCACCAAGCAACATAACTTATTTGCAGCCAACCACTCAGCATCACTAGGAGGGCTAGTGATGAAAAGCAGTTCACCACCTAGAAGAAAAGCATCACTTTTGATAAAGTTTGGGGTGGTCTTCAGCTGAAGGCTTCTTCTGAGGCTTAGAGTTACTTAAGGAGCTGTTTAAATGTTAGGCAGTGATGACAACTAATATTGTTTTTTTTCCCAGTATTCTTTCCCAGACTGATCAGGACATAACATAAAATTTTTACTTTGCATTTCAGATCTGACCGTTAAAAGGAGTACTTTGACCAAAGAAAAAAAAATTCAACATTATAGACTCCCAACCACCAGATCAGTTTGAAAAACATAACCATCATAGACTCTATGAAAACCAGGCATCTTTACCACAGAGGAACATCAGTGTCTACACAAATCAGATATATTTGCAGCACAACAGTCACATTTAACCTTACAGTCCCACAGCCTACTAAACTTCCACTGCTAGTGGAGCATTAACTTCCACTAGCCATCCTGCATGGTCCAGCTTCAGCCCAATTGTTACCAGTTCATGGCTCACAGGTAAACCATCCCATGCCCATCTTTAAAACGGGTAAAAAAGGTGACCCTGGGAACTACTGACCTGTCAGCCTCACCTCTGTGCCTGGGAAGATCATGGAACAGATCCTCCCAGAAGACATGCTAAGGCACATGGAGGACAGGGAGGTAATCCTAGGTAGTAAGCACAGATTTACTAGGGGCAAGTCCTGACTGACCAACCTAGCGGCCTTCTACAATGAAGTGACTGCATCAGTTGACAAGAGAAGACACATGGAAGTCGGCTATCTGGACTTCTGCAAGGCCCTTGACAGGTCCCCCACAACATCCTTATCTCTAAGTTGGGAAATTATGGGTTTGATGGGTGGACTGCACAGTGCATAAAGAACTAGCTGGATGGTCACATCCAGAGAGCAATGGTCAACAGCTCAATGTCCAGATGAAGGAAGGTGACAAGTAGTGTCCCTCAGGGGTCTGTGCTGGGACCAGTGTTGTTTAATATCTTCATTAATGATTTCGAGAGCAGCATTGAGTGCACCCTGAGAAAGTTTGTGGATGATACCAAGATGGGAGGTGCAGATGATATGCCAGAGGGACAGGATGCCATCCAGAGGGACCTGGATAGGCTGGAGAGGTGGGTCCAGATGAACTTTATGAGGTTCAACAAGGCCAAGAGCAAGGTCCTGTACCTGGGCCAGGGTAACCAGCACTATCAGTATAGGCTGGGAGAGTATGTACTGGACAGCAGTCCTGTGGAAAGGGACTTGGGAGTGCTGGTGGATGGAAAATTGGACATGAGCCACCAATGTGCAGCAGCAGCCCAGAAGGCAAATCTCATCCTGGGCTGCCTCAAAAGAACCATGTCCAGCAGATCAAAAGATACAATTCTGTCCCTCTACTCTGCCCTGGTGAGACCTCACCTGGAGTACTGTGTCCAGTTCTGGAGCCCCACGCACAAGAATGATGTAGACATATTGGTGTGAGTCCACAGGAGGACCACCAAAATGATCAGGGGAATGGAGCATCTCTTACATGGAGACAGGCTGAGGGAGTTGGGGCTGTTCAGCCTGGAGAAGGGAAGGCTCTGAAGGGACCTTATAGTGACCTTCCAGTACCTCAAGGGAGCCTACATGAAGGTGGGGGAAGGTTTATTCAAAAGGGTTTGTAATGACAGGACAAGGAGTAATGGATTTAAACTAGAAAAGGACAGATTTAGACTGGATATTAGAAAAAAGTTCATTAATATAAGGGTTCATTGGAAGGTGGTGGAGGCCCTATCCCTGGAATCATTCAAGGTCAGGCTTTAATGGGGCTTTGAGCCACCTGACCTAGGTAGAGATGTCCCTACTTGTGTAGGGAGGTTGGACCAGATGACCTCTAGAGGTCCCTTCCAGCCTAAAACATTCTTATGATTCTATGTGTGTTTCATTGTAAATTCCATGTTCATGTACTACATAAATGAGAAAAGAAGGTTCTGTCAATGATCTCAGATGCCATTTCAGCCCCAACCTCATTGCTTGCTTGGCCAAGAAAAAAAGAGCATGCTTTGGTACTAAGTCAATCATGAAATCATGTTCTTACACATCAAAAGAATTAATATAGCTTAGCTTTAAGCAACTCAATAATCAATTACATTAATAATTTCCAGAGGTTTTATACCTGCATGATTACTAATCACTCTGAAAACTTACCAAGCTTAAGACATTTCAAGTATGCACCTGTTTAATCATTACAAGATTTGGTAACATACGAAAAACAGATTGAGATGAACCATTCACAAATCTGAGGTGCAAGGAAATTAAATAATTAGCTAAAGTTTTCCTTTGTGGTCACTGCAAACCAGCTGAGCTAAAGGATTACAGGGAAAACTTCAAGTACATCTTGTTAAAGACACCGAATTTTTGCAGAATACTTCACTCCAACAGCTGTTGCTACTTAGAAATAACTACACAAACCTTAAGAACAGCCTCAAGGTATTTAGTAAGCAAAAGAACCAGGGGAGCCCATTTTCTATCAAGTTTATGGCCCCTTACACATCCCCTCCTCTGTATTACGATTTTCTATGTCCACAAGGGTGATCGCTGATGTTTCCCCTACGAAGGGTGACAGATTACTAAATCCAGTGCTTCAAATTTTCTCTCATTAGACACCTCAACTTAAGAAGTCTATTAAAAAAAAAAGACAAATATTGGAAAATCACTTTTGACAAGGTTGTATTTGAACAAATAAACTAATTGAATTCTTATGTCAGCATTTTAACTGCATGATACACTACACAAGCATCAGATGTGCTTCATGCAAGAGACCTGGGATAGAACCTATGAAAGACTGTACTGTCATTCATATTCACTCCAACTTGAGTGGCAAGTTTGTGGAAGCAAGATGACATGAGTTGAAAGAAAACTCTCTGTACACAAGGCACAGGGAGGGAAGACAACCAACAGTGTCCCAAGAGCATTCCCAACAGCATTCTTAAACCATCAGGAATGGGCTTATCATCCAGTAGTAGCAGTAGTAACTCAAGCAGGAAAGCTAAATCGCACTGTTTAAAACAAAAAGATAGAACTAGTCAGAAAAGGCATTCTGAGCAAGTACAGTGACAACTCTTCTGCAATAATTGCAATATATGCCATCAAATAAAAAGAGCAGTAAGTTCAATAACAAGTCCCTTTCACAACACAGGCAGCGGCAGAAACAAACTCAATGGGCTGTTTGGCCTTAAACTGACCTGCAAATCCACAGGAAATGGAGATGAGTGTTGTGTTTGTCATTGCCCAAGCTGCAAACACTGAGCAGCATGAGCATGACGTATCTACAGATGGTAAAACTCTTCCTAGTCTTTGCTGAAATGAACCTAATTCATCAGTGGAGTGCATGTGCCTTATGCGAAAGAAACAAGAGAGTTCCACAAGCAAGGTCACTTAATCAAAAGGATAAAGAAAATTAATACAATGTTATGAAGCCATTTTACACTATTAAATTAACAATATGCATTTAAAATTCAAGATTTCCTCCTATTACTCTATTTTCAGTTTGTGCTGATCCGTTTAACTATTTGCATTCACCTGAAACATCTGAATCACCTATCTGAAAATACCACCAGCTTTCAACAGTGCTTTAAAATAGCCTTATAATACAAGTAGCCTAGGAAGATCTTCAAATCCAAGGAGAATTACGTGAGTAGCTATTACAAGTCCTGACTTAACTAAGTGATGTGAAGCTTCTCCTCGTGCACAGGATTTGAAAGGTTGGCTTAAGAACAGTCACAGCATACCAAGTTCAAATAAAAAAAACAGTGAAAAAACAGAACCTGATAAACTATTTTAGATATTACTCTAACTGCAGTGTCTAAAATGAAGATGGGACACGAGATGCACCACACGTTGCAATTTGTACCTGAATGAGAGAAAAATGACTTTGTTTTGGTAAATCCCTGAACTCCTACAGGGACAGCTTACAAGGTACTGAAATGGGCACACCAAAAAGTTGACTCATAGTTGTAAATCAGCATCGCTCTTGAATAGAGGTGAATGTGCAATTTTAAAAAGAATTATAAAGTAATAAGGAAAATCACAAAACACTCACTAGCTTTCATGTAGAGGTGTACCTAGTGCTAAGGTTGCTCAATTTATGGGACAGCAGAACTAAGATTTTAAAAAATAATGGCCCTTGGTGCCAATTTTAAGTTCATTACACACCCACAGACTTAAGTAATATAGTTATTAATATGCTTTTCAATGATACTAAACCCACCAACACATCGCAATGGTGTAAAAGTAAATTAAACCAGCAAGAGGAGACCCTTCGTTACTTTTCAAGGCTCCACCTCAGCCCGGTGTTAACGCACTGTGAAGAGATGCCACCGCCAAACGAGGCCGTTTGGCAGCGAGCGCTTTCCCTGCCGCGCAGAAGCACCGGCACTGCACTGCCTCACGCCGCCCGGCGCTAACGGGAGGCGGCGGCGCGGCCCAGCGCCCAGCACCTCCCCG